GATTGAGATAACTCACTTGTAGGGTTTTGGACAATATGCCACTAATGTTAGCTATAGTAAACCGTATGAACTTAATTTCAAGGTTTTTTTCTGCTTCGTGTTGTTACAACAGACAAGGTTTTTTTCTGCTTCGTGTTGTTACAACAGACAAGGTTTTTTCTGCTTCGTGTTGTTACAAAAGACAAGGTTTTTTTCAGCTTCGTGTTGTTACAACAGACAAGGTTTTTTCTGCTTCGTGTTGTTAAAACAGACAAGGTTTTTCTGCTTCGTGTGGTTACAACAGACAAGGTTTTTTTTCTGGAAAGTTCGTCATGCCTTAGCGATTCTACTCTTGCAGGCACATCTTTTTACTTTCACCCACATTTATGTATTATGGTATTGAGATTCACATATGGTGGGTTTAGATCACTATCCAACCATAGTTCTCTCCCTGTTGGATGTGCTACTCCCTATTTCCACCCATATCTGTGACACCTTTTTTCACACTAGGCAAAGCGTATGTCTGGTACAGAAGTGGTGCAGTCTCCCATGTATGATCTCCAACTCTGAAGAGCTCTTTGAGAGTGTCCTTCAGACGTTTTTGAAGAATGCTTGTTTCTTTCCTTTGCACCAGTCCCTCCACTTGTTCAATATGGGATTCTAGTTATTTATATGAGCAGAGATAATGTATCGTCTCAGAAAATGTATTTCCGATAGGTATTTTTCTCTTCTCACCCTTCCTCTACACAGAAAACTGGTGCTTCTATTTTCTGCCTAGATTCGAGTGATAGTTCAGTAGAATTGAATAAAGGGTGTCACCTGTGTCAAGAGAGTATGTCACTCTCTTATTGGAGAGTTGTTGTATGATGATTTGTATGCAAGACGCATTGTAATCAATCAATTCCAGAGGGGTGGGAACATCAGGGCTTGTGGCATGCAAAAAAAAATTGCATATAGAGGGTAGCACTGAAAGAGAATAGCTATTTATGTGAGAGGAAGTAAGTACCTACTGTAAATAAATTTTCAGTATACAAAAATTATAACTTTTTTCTGGTAAGGAAAATTCAGAGGTTTTTTCTTATATGTTTAATACACTAAAAGTGGAACAGACTCAACACCGATTCTATATCACCAGATTATAAAACTAAATTAATTAATAAACAAAAATTATACATATTAATGTACCAATATATACATATATGGTGTAAAAAAATCCTTAAGTTTAGTAGATGGATAAAAATCAGATGTAAAAAATCCAGTTTATTGCATTTATAAAGTTCCCAAAATTATACATCCTCAGAACATTTGAGTAAAAAAGTTACTCTTTCTTTAACTGTTAAAGAAATTAAATATACTTAATTTTTCTGTGTTGTTTTTTTTTCACTGCATCAATGTTTATTAATTTTCTGTTTCAGGTTATTGGAGCATGTGGTACTGAAGACAAGGCTGCACTGGTGAGAGAAAAGGGGGCTTTCTCTGCTTTGAACTACAGCGACAGAGAACTAACCAAACAAGTGATGAAACACACAAATGATACTGGTGTTAAGATTATTTTTGATGCAGTTGGAGGAGAGATATTTGAAGACTGCTTGAATTGGTATTTTTAGTAGTACAAACTTTGTTAAGTACATTTAGAAATAGTTTGGAACATACTGCTTTCAGTGTAAATGATGAATTTAGAATATTTGATAATTATTATAACATCTATCCATAATCATTATAAACAAATAACTTTGTTTCACTAAAATTTACCCTGGTAAATGATTTAATATTTTCTTTCATTGAGTTAGCTATGAAGATTAGTCTGAACTTAAAAGCACTAATTACAGTATTTTATAATACTTGCAATGTAAAAGGATGCATACTTAGCTCATATATTTTGTTTGTATATTTATGAAAATATTAGTGTGGCCCATGAGGGGAGTATCATTGTAGCAGGGTTTGCATCTCGTCAAGTTCCCAAGATTTCCACCAATCACCTGCTCCCAAAGTCATGTGCATTGATTGGTGTTTCCTTGAGCCATTACCGATCAGGGGCAAATCAGGTTTACAGAGACACCGTACAGGAAGTGATCGACATGTATAATGACCAATACATTGAACCTCATATATCAACAACCTTTAAACTGGATGAGGTAAGTAACGTTACTAAAGTTTCCTGGGAGAATAACCCAAATAACCCTTTTTGCCAGATCTTCTACTAGAGATTATTGATATATTGCCAACTAATCTTTAATCATATTTCTTTCAGTTCTGAATATAGCAGGAGCTAATTTTTGCTATGTTGAAATTATGATATTTGTTCTCAATAAGTGAAACTGTGTCCTCAAAAACAAAAGTTGCTCATTTAACTCTTGTTGATTTCAGTTTTCACACTTTTCAGAAAAACACCATATTTCGTAGAGCGATGTAGAAAAACACTGAATTTATTTTGAATAATTTGAAAGTTTTTTTTATATTTATTAATATTTTACACCGATTGAATCAATTTAGTAGACCTCTACACAATCACATGTAGAAGAAACTGGTCATATAATTGTCAGAAGGCTGCATGAGATGTAAGACAAGGGGTAATAGCAATGACCTTTGACATAATATTTTAATGACCTTCTATCAGGAGCATTGTTCTCAATGACATTTTTCTGACTGCCTGTTCAAGTATATTTGTCACTAGAATCTTTCAACAACAGTGTCAGTCTGTTTGTGTTTTAGAATCTATACAAGAAATATACATTCTTTCCAGTCAGCTTTTAAATGTATTAATAGCATATTAAAAATGTTCCATTATTATTATTTTATTTAAGTTATTGACTTGTACTATCCTTCTGTAAATAAAATGCTTTATATTTAATTGTAAAAATAAAAAGCCAGTACGAAAGTCTATATAATTGGTTTTGTTTCTATTTCGAATTTGTGATGAAAATACAAATATGATGCTATGTCTTCATAAAAGTTTTTCTACATTCTAAAACTATTAAGTTTTTCTGTATTTTTTTACTCTATTCATATAGTTTTGATTTTCATCTTAGGTGAATGAAGCCTTCAAATTCATTGAGAATAGAAAGTCTACAGGAAAAGTTGTTCTAAACATTAGATAGAGCAAAATAATAATAATATTTGGCTTTACACAACATCTAGAAGAGATTCCAGCCCAATTACTTAATGCCAAGTACAGCCCTCCAAACTTGTATTACCAACATCATGAGATCACATATATAAGAGAGTTAATATATCAATTTAAGCAATGAGTACACTTTCAGGAATTATCTATTCATGGAGAAATGTCGTAACAATTAACTTGCTGTTGTAAATTATAATGTATAAAAGCTAGTGGAGGATCTTTAAAGTAAATAAATCATTCTTGTTACAAAAGTGTTTGTATTTCTTTCATTCAGAATTGAGGAAGAAAAAACAGAACAAAGACAACTGTTCATTTCACAAAAACTTAATTTATTAATAATCATGGTTTTACCAGTAAAGACTATGTTATCTTTCATTCTTTTTTCAAGTTTGAATTATTTCTAATTAAATACCAAAAGTCTGATTCATAAATGACTGAAGTTTATAATAATTACAATTCACTTGATGAAGTTTGGTTGAATAGGTGGCAACTGCCTATTGTAGAAACACGAATATAGAGGGACAACGTTTCAGATATCTTCCACTGTTTGTCAAGTGAATACAATTCACTTGATGAAGTTTGGTTGAATAGGTGGCAACTGCCTATTGTAGAAACACAAATATAGAGGGACAACGTTTCAAATATCTTCCACTGTTTGTCAAGTGAATACAATTCACTTGATGAAGTTTGGTTGAATAGGTG